TGACAAAATGTCTTATATTTGCTTCAAAATAATCAGGGGTGTGTGGGGAATGGGGAATATATAGATGAAACAAAATTGGCAAAACTTGATACCTGTGATACCTGTTGAAGCTTGGTAAAGGTACAGGGAAGTTCCCTATATAACTCTCTTTACCTTTGAACAACTTAAAAATTTTCTGCGATAAAAAATTTAACTTATGTGTATTTAGTTAGTATACTGGGTGTATTCTATATAGCAAGCATCCTGATAAATATATTTCATACATTATTTCATTTACTCCCCAAAAATAGCCTGCAAAGAAACTAATTTTATTATTCCAAATTTTTAAATGAGGAAATTGATAGGGCGCCAGAATTGCTGAGAAACTTGCCCAAGGTCACACTGTGCTAACAGGTTTTAGGCAGAGAGGGGTCCAGTCCAGTCTGTCTAACTTTGCCACATTCACTCTTACCCACTGCACACTATGGCCTCTTAATTCCTTCTCAGGCCCATGAGTCTAGATTTCCGTCTACATCAGATCAGAGAGATGCAGGGAAGATAGTCCACATTCTTTCCAGAAACTGAGCTGGTAGCAAGTGTGTGATGAGGAAAGGCAATGAGGTTTCCCACACACTGTTTCTTTGGAATAGCCAGTCCTCTCCCCAACACACCCCTCCCCACCCCAAAAGTTAACACTACCCAGCACACAGCTTCTCTGTTAAATGTTGGAAAGAAGTTGGCAAACTGAATAATAGATTTCCTCTGCCATTAGTGACCTGGCTATCCCCTGGAGATTCACTACACACTCTGATATTCTGATTCTTTTTCAGTAAAAAGAGGGATGTAGATGAAGGTCTCTAAATGGCTTTCCAGGTCTAAAGACTTGCCTTGGGGACACTGATTTCCTATTATGGGAAAAAGGGGGAGTTAGCAGCACTCAATGTCCATCACAAAGGCAAGTGGATGGAAGGTCCTCTACTCAGCAAAAGCTTGTCCTGTTAAATATGAGATGTATGGACACTGTGCTGATAAATCTCCTTATATCTACCCTGCTCCCTGCCCCCAACTCTGGCAGCGTTCTCCTTGCTGAGCTGCTGGCGCAGCAAATGGTCCCTTCTCAGATCAGAATCCACCCCCAAGGAGGATTCCCAGTGTCCTTCCGCCCCCTGCAGCTCTGTCATTGTGGGACCTCTTCTCAGCCAGACTCACCTTTTGAACGGGTTGATGAGTTCTCAAGTTTTCTCCAAAGAAGCTGTTTGAGCGGGTGCTTTTGCTTGTACTATGATTAAGTGTTTGCACCCTCTGAAACCTCTGAGCCAGGAAGCTTCATTGGGTGGGGCCAGTGAAGGGACTGTTTGCCTTTAAAGAGACAGAGATATTGACCTATAATTTGGAGTGTGCTTCAGTTTTGCCAAGTTGAAACCTTTTTCTCCAGGTGTCTGCTATTGCACCAAAATTTCCAAAGCTGATTTGTTGTTTTGGCTTATAATGGTAGATGCAACAGGCCCTTATCAAACGACCCAAATCTTGCACAGAAAGCCAGGCATTGTGTCTGATCATCCTCCCTGAGTGGAGTGGGAGGCCATGGAATGGATGGTTCAGGGAAGAAGGCAGCCAGATATCTAGCTTGGTGTCTCCAAGTTTAGAGCCTGGGGGGTACTTCCCAATGATTGCATAATATGTGTTTTTACTATACTCTTTTAGGAAGGTCTCGTGTTTCTCATTCAAAAATTAACAGCACTCAGGTACAAAACCAAGAGGGCCTGAACCACTGGGAACTAAGAGAAAGAGTAAGATGAGGCCTGGAAAAAAATCTTTCAATGACCACACAGCTTCTCTGGTTTCATCATACAGTCTTGCAAGCTTGAAAATATGCGTGATCTGGTTAAGTAAAGATGCGTCCAGGCAGCAGAACTCAGCTCTGCCCCCCAACCTTCCTACTTCCTCTTACCCCCGGCCAGGCAGAGGCAGTTTCCTAGACTTGCCCAGGAGATGCTTCTAACCTACTCTAGAACCTTTCTGAGATAAGAGGCAGGTGGTCGAAGTTCTTGTGGTTGACCAACTATTCTGGTTGCCTATTTCATCACCATAAAAATGTTTTTGGTTAGATACATTGAGAAATTAGTCAGTGCTCAAGCTTGAGGATAGGTACCAAAAGGACCAGAGCAGGAAGTAGTGGACAATGGGGTGGTTACCCACGGAGGGAAGCAGCAAGATTTGGACGCTGTGATGTCAATGACCATATCATCGGTTCATATCACTGGGCCAGTCATTGGTGTTGATGACTTGGAACACATTGAAGGGCCCCAGGTAACAGTTTCCCAACTTCCAAAAAAAGGTACAGATCCGTACCAGCTGTGTGATTCATCAGGTCTGGTGCAAAATGAAAATGCCAGCCTTTTGTTCAAGATCCATTATGGATTTCAAGCTGATATCACCAGAGCGTAAACCAAACCACGTGAGGGGCCCTTCTAGGCAGAGAGTCCTGTGTAGCTGTACAGGTCGCACACCCCGGTGGCTCTTTCACAAGTTACCACACATAGGGGTCTAGAGGAGAGCCAGGACCGCATCTCCTACCAAAAACATTTCTACCATTGCCCAGTTTCATTTCATTCAACGTATTCCTTGAATGAACTCAGAGCTGCCTTGGATGTTTTCCTGATCAGCTAACTGCTTCTCCAGGTATGATGCTCGGGCACACTGGCAAGTTCCCTAAAGGGAAGAGGGAAGCAGTAGAGATAGAATTCATAGATGCTACAGGGAACAGGATGCCAGTCTCGAGTCATAACAGCCCTGAGGCCACTGGCCAAGGAGGAGCATCTGGCACACATCTGTCCCATCCCTGACCCCTAACTTAGGAGTAATCTCCATCCATCAGATCTTTGACAGGAGCAGAATACGGCCTCATATCTCCCCTGTACTGTTCCCTTGGCTGTCCTCCTCATTACGAGCTACGGCCCACCCACACCTCGGCTGGGAACCGTCTGTCTCTCTGCTGCTGGTCCCCACCTGCAACTCCCCTCAGCCTAGGATGCCGCTCCTTCCACAAAGTCTGAAACAAAGAGATGAATGCAGAGGAAGCACAGCTTCCTTTTCACATTTTCTCTTTATTCTTTATAGCATACATGCACCTGGCAATGTGCAGGTAGTAAGCAAGTCCACTCTTTGGCAGTCCAAAAACATTAGCAAATTCTGGAGACCTCAGAGAAGAGGGGAATTCACTGAGGTTTTTAGCTACAGCATGCAACATTTATTGAAGAAAGTGGTTGGGTCTTCCCTGCAGTTGGAACAGAAGAACAAATAATAGAGGTTTTTAAAAGTCTGATGCAAGGTTCTTTTTGAAAATTTCCAGAAGTTAATTCTTTGGCATTAGGAGTTGCTTAATACTGTTGGCCTCCAGATTTGCTGAGCAAATTCAAGGAGGCCTATCCAGGTAATTAAAATTTTACGGCATATGTATACATAATCAGACCATGAATAATAAAACAAATCTTCTAGGGATTAGCAATCATTACTGGAGGCTGTTTATGATCACAAAGTGGTGATGCCGTTAAAATGATTGAAAATTTAGAAATAGTCAGGAGAGATTGCTAAGTGTTCTTTCTGTGTGATTCTAGGCTTGACTGTTGTCTGAGATGTTTTATGACTCTATGAGGACAGAGAGGTATTTTGCAAATGTTTTGTCCTGTAGACATGCAAATAATTTTCTGTCTGGTGGAATGTATAACCCAAAAGTTACATTTTAGACTGTCTTGGACACCAATGCTACATTCTCAAATGCTCTTTGAACAAATTCTAATTATCTTACTGGTTCCCTCACTAATCAGTAAGTCGAGCAAAATCTTTGACATACATTTTTTTTTATACTTGCCTGAGAACCATGATTTTGCTTTTTTGAATATTGCACTCTAACAGGAAACAGAGGGGGAAACAGCACGACTAAATCCTTGGAGGTGGAAATATACTGGATATGGGCTGAGAACAGCAAAAAATTTGGAGTGGAGGGATCATTACCAGTGTTTTTTGAAGGCCTACTACATACAGTCCAGGCACTGGCTTTTATATCATGATTACCTTCACTCTTTACAACTATTTTACAGTGTGTAAAAGAGTTATTAATAGGAATGATGTCTGTAGATTCAGGTAGATAAAGCACCAGAGGAAGACTGGCTTGGAAGAAAATTTTGACCAAAGAAAATATGGGTCAAAGAGTACACACTTCTACTTATAAGATGAGTAAGTCCTGGGGAGCTAACAAGAGGCATGGTGACTGGAGTTAATAATACTGTATTGTATACTTGAAAGTTAAGAGGGTAGATCTCAAATGTTCTCACCACTGCAAAGAAATGGTAATTATATGATGTGATGGGGTGTTAGCTAGCACTATGGTGGTAAACATTTTGCAAGATATGTGTATCAGACCACACTGTGGATTAATCCTCTCCCTGCATACAGAGACGGTCAACTCAAGAGAAGTCAGGTGGGCCAGGCAAGATCACAAAGCTTGTTGATGACTTAACCAGATCCAGGGTCCACACCCCACACAATGACTGGCTGTTTCACTCACCTTTCTCATGACCCTCCTGAGAGAAGCAGCAGCAACTTGGGTTAGAGATAACAAGAGAGATGGCCGGACTAAGCTTTGTATGAAAATTTTCTATATCCTCTATCTGCTATCCTATTATTAATAGCTGGAGAAGCCTTCCTTTGAGAATGATGAGACTTTGCAAGTGGCCATTTTCTAGGGAAATACCTAAAAAGCAAAAGGCAACTGAAAATGAGAGTGGTCAGAGGCTAGAAATGAAAAGAGGCCTCAGAAAGCTAAGATGCTCTTCACCTCTGAGGTTATATAGCCCACAAAATGTTGGTATCTCAGGGCCCTTCTGAAAACATCACCATAGTCCAAAATGGGGAATAGGTTTCTCAGTGGAAACACTGCAAACCAACAGCTCAATGGCAAACGTGTCTGTCTCTTTAAGTTGTCACCACTGGGCCCTCCCCCCGTGGGCTTCCTGAGCTCTGAGGTCTGAGAGGCCCTCTGTGTGCTGGGAGGAACAGCCTTCCGCCCTCACGACCAAAGGGAAAGCAGTAGGTCAGGGGATCCTCCAAGCCAACGGCGGAGCCTGTCACCCATTCTGCAGGAAAGCTGAGCCCAGCAGGGGAAGGGAGTCGCCCGGGAGCAGGAGCTGTGGCCAACCAGAAGGAGCACGGCTCTGAGCGTGGGTACTGCCTGAGCACCTGCACTGCAGCGGCATCACCAGGGTGAGTGAGGGCGGAGCAACCCACATCATGCCTCCATGTTTTCAAAGATGTTCCGAGTTCAGACAGAGTAAGTTCAGAAGTCTTATGAACATCTCCCCAGCCTGGAGGGCACACCTCCTTATTTAAGAGTAACATCAGCCTCCTTAATACAGTAAGAGAAGTGTGTGCTAGAACCACCTGCAGGAACAAAATATATTTTTCAAGGAATTATATTGTTAAGTTTAATTGTTGCCCAAATTGCGTATTCAGCAAAGGCAAAGAGATTTCTGTGAACACACAAGCAGTCTAACCTCAAAGCATGTTCCACTGCGGCAAGTCTGGACCCACCCAGCCCCCACACGAGACAGCGGCAGCGAGGACCGTGGTCTGCAAGCCTTCTCGCTGTATGACCCCTTAAATACCCAACCCCTAGTTCAAGCTTCTCCACACCAGCTGCTGGGGCACCTCAAATTCTTCATCTGTACAATGCAGGAGTTTGAATAACTAACTGGTTTCCTTTGTGGACTGATTACATCAGAAATATCAGATACATGAGTCAGAATCTCTGCCGAGGACCCCAAAAAGGTACAATGTATAGAACACTCAACTCTGAAAACAGCAAATTTGGGAGGTGCTGACAGATGAACTGTGAAGTCTCCGAGTGTTAAGAATACAGGAGTCCATGTTTTACATACCTCAGTAATCAAGAGCCATTTGTCATCCCAGATTTCACTGGGGCTTACTTCCCTCTTAACTATTTTAAATCATTTCCACCCCATTCCAAACTATATGGAAAATTCCAATGACCTATGTAGGTGTTGGGCGAATTCCCTGCAGTACATTTACTCATTTTCATCTTTGACAAGAACTTCTTGTTTAGCTAAACCCTTGTTCTTTGCACTGAATCTTGTGGCTCTTTCTCCACTTCCGTTATGCTCTCAGTTTTGGGGGTTTGCTGATTTCTCCACAGAAAATACCTCATCAGGTAAGGCCCGTGGGGTGAACTACTGAAGGCTTTGGGAGGTGGCAGGGCTGTTACTGCAGAAACAGAGCCCACTTTGGACTGAGTACCAGGCAAGCCTGTCATCTAAGTCCTTTGCCGCCAACCTCTCCCTCTGCTTTTCCTTGCGTGGCGCCAACGGGAGAGAACACAGTCACCTGAAGTGACCTGGGTGAGAATGTGAAATGGCTGGGGGAGCACAGACAGGACAGACGGAAATGTGGGGAGGATGAGTCGCAGGAGTAAAAGCACAAGGTGGGCGCACAGACCCCGAATTCTGCTCTCTGTGTTGCAGCTGAGGAGGGGTCGCCCGGAAGTGGGCTGGGAAGTAGACCGAGGAGAGGCTGCGCCCCGTGGCCAGGTTCTCACGTGACCAGGCAAACGTGATCACAGAATGGGGAACGGGATTCAGCGTTTGAATTGGGTAGGATCGCTTGACTTTGAGAGGCCTCAGATTGCAGGGCAAGGACATCAGGAGTTGGAGGGCACATCCCAGTCTCTCCAGCACACTGGTCATGTTTAGACACATGTAGACAAGCCAAATTATTTGGTTTCCGAGGGCAGACCAGAGGCTCTCCAGAGCAGCTTGAGTGGTATGTTTTTTCCCTACTTCCAAAGCAAAATTCAACTTCTCCCTTGTTTGTTTCCCAGGCCTACCACCCTAAGGCAGTTCTCTAAGTCCTGAGCACATTTTCTGGTTCTCACCGTTTTCCAAAGTCTCTCCTGGCTGCTGAATCTCCTGGGAAAACCTGGTATCAACAGCTTCTGTCACTGGCATAGACTCTCCTGGGAAATTCCTATCTAAGCTTACTCACTGGCATGGCAAGGTGCTATAATCTCCCCTCTGTGTTTCGCATTTGGAGGTCCTGAAAAGGAAAACCAGGCTCTCCACACATTCCCACGGTGCCAGTCCAGCCCCAGACCAGGTCCTTCCAATGCCCCCCTAAATCCTGATGCTCAGGCAAGGCAGGAACCATGGCTTTTTCACGGTGGTGTCACCAGCTCTTTGGACTGTGCCCAACACACTGCAGGTGGTCATGCCACCTGATGAATGAATGGACAAATGAATGAATGAATGAACAAATTGTGTTTGGGACTCTTCTAGGGAAGCATGGGAGGAAGGAAGATGGCAAGAGATGAAGAGAATCCTTATGGTAAGAACATATCTCGCATCATGTCCTTGCCCCAGCGTGGGCTCTGGGTGACAAGCGAAATGGGCTGCCTCCTGACTGGGCAGACACGAGCCCCAGAGGTGCTGTGAGGTATTTAAGTGCTGTGACTAGCCTGTGCGTCCATTCCCAAAGTAAATGAGGACGATAAACCTCCTCTGATCTCCATAGAGATGTAGAAGATATCATGCCCCAGAGGGAACATGCTCTACCAGGTAGAATGTGCTGGAGAACAAGGATGGAGGGTTGAGCAGGTATCCTAATGGGCAGCAGGGACAGGACAGGGAGGAGAGGGAGGGAGGAGGGAGGGAAGAAGAGAAATCATCTCCTCTAATCCTCTCAGCAACCCATGAGAAGCAACTGCAAGTATTATTGGCATTTTTGCAGAAGAGGTTTGAGGCTGAGGTTAAGCAACTTCCCCCAGGGTTACACAGCCAGCACATGGTGGGGCTGTGATTCAAACCCGGGAGTCTGGGACTCCACGGCCCTTCACCACCAGGCCAGGCTCCCCGACTTTGTTCCGGACTGAATTCTGGGAGAAGCGTTGCAGAGCCCCCGGGAGTTGTCCAACGTGGAACAGCCCGGCCTGTTGGGGGGGGTGGGGGAATGCGCAGGGGCCATGCAGATGAAGCAGTGGGCTGGCATTGCAGAGGGGAGTCTAGTTGTAAATAAACGTCCACGGGTAGGTGTGGCGCATCTGCAGGCCATGTGGGGAAGCCAAAATGAGAGAAGTAGACGGCGAGGGACCCCCGGGAGTTCCAGACGCGGCGACCAGGTCCCCTCAGGAAAGGCCTGGCTCGAAAGCCAAAGCCAAAGCTGTTGTTTCCCACGCTCAGAGGGCGCCCAGGAGGCCCAGCGGACCAGGAGGCGCGCCTCTGAGTCTGGAGGCTGACACGGGTCAATCGGTCCTCGCAGGTTTCGACGACTACGGGCCCGCCCCACAGGAACCCAGGCTGAGGCTCATCCTGGCCGGGAAGACCGGAGCGGGCAAGAGCGCCACGGGCAACAGCATCCTGGGCCAGCGGCGGTTCCCCTCCAGGCTCGCGTCCAGGTCCGTGACCAGGACCTGCGCGGTGGCCAGCCGGCGGTGGAACGGCTGGCACGTGGACGTCGTGGACACCCCGGACCTTTTCAGCTCCGAGGTGGACCAGACAGACCCGGCGTGCGCCGAGCGCGGCCGCTGCTACCTGCTGTCGGCGCCCGGGCCGCACGCCCTGCTGCTGGTCACCCAGCTGGGCCGCTTCACCGCCCAGGACCAGCAGGCCGTGCGCGCGCTGCGGGAGCTGTTCGGCGACCAGGTGCTGGCGCGCACCGTGCTGGTCTTCACGCGCAGGGAGGACCTGGCGGGCGGCTCGCTGCAGGACTTCCTGCGCGACACGGACAACCGCGCGCTGCGCGAGCTGGTGGCCGCGTGCGACGGCCGCGTGTGCGCCGTGGACAACCGCCCGGCGGGCGAGGAGCGCGAGGCGCAGGCGTGCGAGCTGCTGGCGCTGGTGGAGCGCCTGGCGCGCGCGCACGGGGGCGCCCCCTACACGAACGACGTGTACGGCCTGGCGCGCGCTCTGGGCGCCGCGGGCCCCGAGGAGCGGCTGGGCCGCCTGGTGGCCCGGCTCGCGGCGCGCGCGCGGGGCCGGCGGGGGCGCGGGCTGCGGGCGGCGCTGCGCGGGTGGCGGCGCGCGCTGGGGGGCGGTTGGAGGCTGGCGGCGGCCGCGCTGCTGGGGGGCGCCGTGCTGCTCTGGCTGCTGTTCCCCAGGCCGCCGCCCCAGGCCCCCGCGGGGAGTGTGGGTCTTCAGAATGCTGGGAACCTGGCAAGAAAAATGGAGCATTTGGCGCTGAAAGGGGACTAAAACTTATTCCAAAGGGATTCTGCGGTTTCAGACAGTTTTAATGACAGAAAGCATCGGACACTATCAATTTTGCCAAAGCTTAACCTGTCCTCTTTAGTTTTCAAGTTTCATCTTTGACTGTATGTACATCGTTCTTAAATTTGTCTAAAACATCCTCAAAACATTTTTGTAGTCTTGTGTATCTTTTTCCTCTGGAAATATAGTAATGATTAGTAGTTTTCAGTAGAAAATGGATTCATGGCAAAGAGAAAACAGCCATTTTTATTTTAAGTGCTAAGGTAAAGTAGATGCTTAATCTGTTAGGGTTGCTATTTTTTAAAAAATCGGACTGAATGGCTTGTAAGCAACAGAGAACAATTTCCCAGAGATCTGGAGGTTGGAAGTCCAAGACTGGGATGCCAGCCTGGTCAGGTTGTGGTGAGGCCCCCTTTGGGGCTGTCGCTGTGAACACGTCCCTGTGTGCTCGCCGGGTGGAAGGGATGAACGAGCCCCCTGGGCCTCTCTACAAGGGCACATTCTCCTTTATTGGGCCTCTGCCCTCATGACCTCATCACCTCCCGAAGGCCCCACCTTATAATGCCATTCTTTAGGGCCTTCAACATAGGAATATTATGGGAGGACAAACGTTCAGACCATAGCAGGCACTGACCTGCCTTAATACGTTTCTAGTTCCTAAACGTGAGTAGGTATCTCTCTTTGTGATCCTTGTAGGTTGTAAGATTTTTATCATCAGTGAGAGTTATTGGGGTCACACGTGTTGATGTTTACTTCTGATACATGAGTTTATTTACTAGTACGATGAATTCATAGTCATAAATAGATAAATTTCACACTCATAAATACTCCACATGTATTTTTTATAATAATAAATGCTCCATATCATTGTATGTGTAGACTTGGGAGTTAGTGTATAGGCTTGTAATATAGGGTAGGAAAGAATTTGCTGTCAAAGACATTTACAAAGCACAAGCATAAACAATCTATGTATGTACAGAGTCAGACACACGGAGAAAGTCCAACTCCTAAGGCCTAGGAGCCCAAGACATGGCGAATACTGAAGCTGGACAAGAACAACAGGGGATACTGCCCTCCCCTGGCCACGGGCCTCACAGGTAATAATTAATTAATAACAGTAGTCTGCTGTGAGAAAGGGTCTGGCCTGGAGGGACTCTGTGAGGCAGAGTTGTGCAGAAATGACTGGGAGCTGAAGGTGAAGGAACAGGACTGGTGAGTAAAGCCTTACAGCGTTAGAGTGCTCACCCCGATTCACCATCAGAATGGACGTCCAGCCCGGGAAATGAGGGGAGGAAAAGAAGTCATATAAATGGGGAGGGAAGTAATAAACCTATCTTTATTCAAAAATGACATGATGGCTGCGCTGCTGGGAGGCACCGCGCTGCTCTTCCGCCTCCTGCCCTGGGCCCAGGGCGAGGTCGGTCCCAACTGACAGACTGACAGACCGTAACCAGATCTGACCAGTCCGCTGACAGTCACACCGATCCCCGTGCTCAGGGCCTGCAGGTCCTCCTGTCCAACTCCATCTCGCCCTAGTTTCCCACTTGCTTCCAGGGCCCATCTCCCACTTAAACCATCCCGGGCGGCCTGGCCTCCCTGGGCTTTCCCCTTACAGAAGCCAACCAACTAAGTGTCGCTGTTACCATTGACCCCAGCCGCCTTTCCCTGTCATTGAGTTGTCGTTGCTCCTGAAGACATATGAGGAGCATTTGTCCTCTCAAACCCTGGACTTCCCCCAGGACCAAGGGCAAGAGCCAACACTGAGCAGAACCTCAATCCGTATTGTTTATTTGAACTGAACCTAAATTGTATAAATAAATACCATCCTGTTGTGTTAAAGAAAATCAGTATTTCCTTTAGTTGGTAGGCGTTTGTTCTGCCCTATATGCCCATTGAACAACACACTACCCTGTCATTCCTAACCCCATCCACATAAACCAGGTGCCCAAGAGCAGGCACAGACACACATTCAGGTGTGTGACCACACACAGAGAACACACAGGTATAGAACTGCCCATCCGTGCCACCGGGGGAGGGTCTCCCCATGCAGCCCCGTTCCCACCCCCAGCAGAGTAAATACAGACAATTCTGCAAGTCCGAGGAGAATTGAGCAGAGGCTCGATTTTCTAGGGGCCACTGAGACTCTGCAGAGAGCCTGCTTCCAAAGAGGAGTCTTTCACTGGCTTACACCGGGAAGGATACACTTTTCAACTCAGAGATATGTCAAAAACTTTAAGAAGCTTGGAATTTTTTATTTTATTTCCATCTCCAAAAAAGGTCAAACGGGTCTTTGTGGGCTAACTGGTGACATGATGGTGAGTAAAGAGTAATGTCTTCTGTCCCATGCACATCTGAGTCAGTAAAATGGGCCGGGTTTACCTGTGTCATCAATCCTGTGTCTCCCTCTCTCTCCACCCAAAGGGCAAGGCAATGCCAGTTCAACATCAGAATGGACGTCCAGCTGTTTCGTCTTGTGCACTTTCTCCCCTAGCCCACCCTCACACACAAAAGTCAAACTCATCTCTGACACTGGGATTTATTTGCAAATCTCTGCCCTACAGCATTTCCTGCCTGTTGCCTTCACAGCAGAGATTCTCAGGTTCCTGATGTCAGATCACTAAGGAGACGCCTAAAAAGGGAAAATACTCAGAACAGCTGAGCACATATGGGAGAGAGAGGCCCACAAGTCCTGCATGGAAGCCATGCAAGCACGGGAACACCAATGCCAAATGCTGAGACCTGAAATTTCCTCCACTGCAAAGATCATTGTGGTTTAAGGAAAGGGTTGTGTGCAGATCCCAGCAGAGACCCTGATAGGAAATCTTGAATTTCGTCTTGTTCACTTTTCAAGATACTCTTGCAATGAAAAATATCCAAGAAAAACTGCTGTTTTCACTCTGCTGAGAAAGGGGATGGTCACTGGTGAAAATAAATGTGAAAAAAGAATAGCAAAGTGTCCATTGTGAGCAATGGAAGATTTTAACCCAAATCAAATAGTTAGAAACACTTGGTGTTGCTCCTCCATTAGGGAGGAACAGGGGGAGTTCCCAAAGGACAATGATTGATTGCATGGGAAAGTGGGAAGGAGCACTCCTGGGGTCCCAGAGGGCAGGCACACCCCGCTAAGGTTGCAGCCCAGGACGCTGGGGAAGAGAGTGTGTCTGCAGACAGTGCATTAGGGACTGTCTGTGTATATGTGGGATATATGCAAAAGGATAAAGGAGGCCGTTAAAAATATCTGTATCACTACAACATCTTACTACACTGATGGACAGTGACTGTAATGGGGTTTGTGGGGAGGACTTGGTGAAGGGGGGACCCTAGTAAACATAATGTTCTTCAGGTAATTATAGATTAATGATAACAAAATAATAAAAAAATAATAAATAATAAATAAATAATAAAAATATCTTAATCAAATTAATGAATAAAAACAACATATAGTACTCAGACAACTGGATATCCACAAGCAAAATAATGCATTTGGATCCCTATCACATGCTATATACAAATATTAGCATACAAGGATCAAAGAGCTAAACATAATAGTTAAAATTATGAAACTCTTAAAAGAAAAAACAGGTATAAATCTTCATGACCACACATTAGGAAATACTTTCTAATATATGCCACCAAAATCGCATGCAACAAAAGAAAAATAGACAAACTGAATTTCATCAAGATTTAAAACTTTTGCCAATCAAAGAACACTATCAAAAAAGTGAAAAGGATGGGAGAAATTATTTGCAAATCATATAAAGATCTATTACCCAGAATATATAAAGAACTCTTATAACTCCACAGTAAAAGGACAAATAACCAAACTTTTAAAGGACTAAAGATTTGAATAGACATTTCTCCAAAGAAAATACACAAATGGCCATGTTTTATACACAAAACACATGAAATGATGTTCAATGTCATTTGTCATGAGAGAAATACAAATAAAACCAAAATAACATCCTGCTTTATACTCACTGGGATGGTTATAATTTTTTTTAAATGTAAAAGAAAAAACAAATACTGCATAAGATATGGAGATATTGAATGCTTGTTCTTAACTGAACATTGCTGGTAAGGATGGAAAATGGTGCAGCCACTTTGGAAAACAGTCTGGTAGCTCCTTAAAAAGTTAAACACAGAGTTACTAGGTGATTCAGTAATTCCACTCCTAGCTATAGGTCCAAGAGAACTGAAAACATATGTTCATACAAAACTTCTACATGATGGTAAACCAGCATTATTCATAACAGCCAAAAGAGTGGAAACAGTCCAAATGACCATCAACTGATGAATGGGTAAACAAATATGCTATATACATACATGGAATACTATTTAGTTATAAAAAGGAATGAAGTATAAATATAAATACATGCTACAACAGGAATGAACCTTGAAGGTATTACACTCAGTGAAAGAAGCCAGACACAAAACACTATATAAAGGTGTGATTCCATTCACATGAAATGTCCAGGAACTGTAGTGAGCTCATGAGAGTGTCCTTAAGAGGGTTTTAGCTTCCGTTCCTTGCACTCTGTTAATGTTTATATTCAGTTTCACTTTTTAAGCTTTTCTCCCCTCTTACTGGTTGAATTGTGTTGAAGTCCTAATCCCCAGTACCTAGGAATGTGAGCTTATTGGGAAGTAAGGTCTTTGCAGATTTAACAGTTAAGATAAGGCAATTAGAGTGAACCTTAATCTATTATGACTGGTTTTCTTATCAGAAGAGGGAAATTTGGACACAGATACAAAAAGGGAAGATAGTCATGTGAAGATGGAGGCAGAGATTGCAGTTGTGCTGCAAGGAACACCTGGACCACTAGAAGCTGGAAGAGGCAAGGAAGGATCTTCCCCTACAGTCTTTAGAGGGAGTGCATCCCTGCCAACAATTGTATTTTGGACTTCTGTCCTCTAGAATTGTGAGAGAGTAAATTTCTGTTATTTTAAGCCACCTAGTTTGTGGTATTTGCTACAACATCCCTAGGAAATGCATACATCTTCTATGTTGTGATTCCCTCTAGTTAACCCTGGTCAACAGACTATAATTACATGTTGGTGCCATTCAGGGAGATGAAATGGTAGGTTGTACATGGGTATGGGTTTGCAGGCCAGGGGAATGCAGGCTGCCTTCACACCACCCTCCTCTGA